CCTGTGAGCCTAGAGTGTCATAGGAGTTTGAGGTATCAAAGATAACCGAAGGAACCTTGATTATTGTAGGTGGGTACAGGCTGAGTGTAGGAAACTGGGTGATACCGATAACCCTGAGGTGAGTGAGCTTTTGCGGACTGCTGTTCGCTGTCTCAAAGAAAGACCTGTGCTCTTCAAATATTGTGCAGAGGAGGTTAGTATTTCGACTTCACTGAATTTTGGTTTCTGTTAAGCTGTTATGATATGAGGCATGTTTGCTGAGCTCCTTATGAACTATGTCAAACCATATAGGTAGGCAATTTGAGGCACAATGCATTATTTAGAAGGTTTATAAGCGCTCTTACACGTGGAGGACCTGGAGGAATGCCTAGACCCATTGAAGTTCACGCCCATGACCCTTTACGATACGTTGGAGACATGCTAGGGTGGCTACATCAGGTTTGTGACCACATTTTCTTCTCCTCTGAGTCCTGCATTTAATCCTCATATGACTGGTGCCTGAATGGTGGTTTGTTTGCTACAATCAATCATACATCTAGCATATTGAAATTCAATGTGCGAATTGAGTACCAGATAATCATGATCTTCAGACTAATTAGTGAATATTGTTTTAAGTGCAGGCTTTGGCATCAGAAAGAGAATTGGTTTATGCTTTATTTGATATAGACGCAGCAGATCATAAATCATCCGCTAAGAATACCTCTGAGAATAATCTCTTAAAGGCAGGAGAATCTGATTTCACATTTGTTCTGGATAGAATTTTTGAAGGAGTTTGCCGGCCATTTAAAGTGAGAGTCGAGCAAGTTTTGCAGTCACAACCTAATCTTATTATTTCTTACAAACTCACCAACACCTTAGAGTTCTACAGTGGCTATGTGAGTTCTTATACTATTATATGCATTTATAGCTCTAGTGGTTCATCACTGGTTTTTTAATTCTTCCTCACCTTGTAGATCTCAGGTTTACTTGGGAGAGACACTGCTCTGTGTAATACAATTGGGATGGTAAAGGATGCTGCACAGAAAACCTTCTTCGACATTCTTAAAACCCGAGGGGAGAAGCTTCTACGATACCCTCCTCCTATTGCCGTCGATCTCTCTCCGCCTCCAGCTGTCCGAGAAGGAGTTTCTCTAACTCTTGAGATAATCGAGAATTACAACAACAGCTTGATGGATTCCGCTTCAGGAGAGAAACCGGCTTTTGATCCTGTCCTCTCTGCACTGCTTGACCCTATCATCAAGGTACATCAAAGTAGACGCAAGCGAATGAAATATCTTGTCGATCCAATGCCATGATTGTGCATTGAAGCTAATTTCTCAACTTTCTCAAATCCGCAGATGTGTGAGCAAGCGGCAGAGGCGCACAAATCTAAGATGAGCGGCCAATTATCCAGAAGAAGCAGAACAAGTACTGACTCAAGCCAATTAACCTCAGTCGATGCTCTACTCTCTAGAAGCCCATCCCCACCACAGGTATCAATCGCTTATAGAAAACCGCAATGATTTATACTTCGGTACTTTGTAGCCCGAAAAATTGTCCGTAAGATTTTGTTTGTTATATGTTCCTTTTGCAGAACAATGAAACACCCTCGAAAATATTCCTCATTAACTGTCTATGCGCAATCCAACAACCGTTGCTAAGACATGACGTCGCATCCCAATACGTAGCCAACATCGGATCGATGATCGAGAACCACATAAACCTCCTAGTCCAGAAAGAAGTCGACACACTCCTCCAAAAATGCGGTCTTTCAGACAAAATGCAAATCTTCCGCTCTTCCACAACCGAACTTCCCTTGTCTGAGCGTCAAGACACATCACCCTCGACATTATCAGAATGCCTCAAGGCCTTCTTCGGCCTCGTTTTGGGAAGTGAAAGCTCTCTTCCCGAGTTCGAGCAGATACAAGTCCCTAAACTCAGGTCTGAAGCTTGCGTCAGGGTCGCTAAAACTTTAGCTGAAGCTTACGAAGTAATATACCAAGCTGTAACGGATCAACAAAACGAATATCCAGATCCGAAATCCCTAGTTCGACATCCTCCAGATCAGATCCGAACCATTCTCGGCATTTGAATGTAAGCTTCTCCTACCCGAAATTTATATATTTTTCGTTATTATCTTACGAGATCAATACTTGTAAACCAAAAATCGATTTGTCTTTTCATTTCAATTTTTGTTTCTTTACATATGTATGTTGATATTTACATATAGCTCATCATTTTCATAAAATGAAGGTTGACTTGAGATTGACTTCATTCAAAAGCCTGTCCTCTGCTTTAATACCAGTTGCTTTCATCTGATAGAAAAGCTTAATAGCTTCAATGTAAAACCCATTCTGCATATAACAAGCCGCCATAGCGTTCCAGCAACTATCACTTGTTTCGTCTTTCCTACTCTTGAACGCCTTTTCTGCGTCTTTTACCTTACCATACTTCCCATACATCTCAATTAACCGACATCGGATCAAACAATCCAAATCAAACCCAAGCTTTATGGCAATCGCGTGCATTCCTTGCCCGCTTCTCCCGCCGTCACTGACCCATGTGCATGCTTTTAAAACTTTAGAGAAGACCGAGACGTTCTTCTTGATCCCGTGCTTACCCATTTCAATGAAATCACGGATTACTTCTCGAAACCGCCCTTCTCTGTAATCGTTAGTAACCTTTGCATCCCAAACAACGGAGTCAGCATTGGAGAGCTGGCTTAGCACAAGATTGGCGTCTTCCAAACACCTGAACTCTCCGTAAAAACGTATCAAGGAACCCGAGAGATATGAATCTTCGTCATCTATAAACCCAAGCTTCTGACACAAGCCATGAACCTGTTTCCCTAATGCCAAATCTCCAATCATCGCGCACGCTTTCAAAACGCATCCCATGATCCAAGGCTGAATCTTCGAAGCATGATTCTGGTGTTTCAACATAGCAACAAATAGCAAAGCAGCGTCTTTGTAATCACCCATTTCAATACAGCCAAGAACAACAATTGCCCAAGAATGAAAATCTCTTTGAGGCATTTTATCGAACATGTTGCGTGTAATATCCAAACGCCCACACGATACATGCATCAAGAGAAGACGATTGACAAAACTCGTCGTGGGTCTTAATCTGGAGTTCTTGATATGCAATTGCAGCTCGTATGCTCCACGTTGATCGCAATCGCTAGTTGATTCTTTGGCAAGACAAGTGTATAGATCTTCGTTTACAGGGAGGGAAAGAGAATCCATTATTCGAAGAATGTCGGAAACCGAACATCGAGGACTTGATTTTTCCTGTTTATCAATCTGAATCTGAGGTTTAAAAACGACGACGGGTTCTGGTTTTTGGTGTTTGGGTTTCCTTAAGAAAAGTTGAACATCGAAGTTGGTGGTGACGTCACTTCCGACGATTCTGACATCATTTCCGACGTTCCGTGCGGCGGAGTAGTTTAAAGAAGGAACAAGAGACGCCGGGTACGGTGGTAAAGCTACTAATTCGAGAGTTCTCATCTGAAATTTTCTTTTGCAGAGCTCAAATCGAAGTTATTAGCAACTGAGAACTGGAGGTAGAAGACAGATTTTTTCGAGACGTTTCTAGTCTGATGAATTTAAGAAAAAATTCTCAATCCGGGATCCGGTTTGAAATAATTTTGGTCCCGGTTTGGTTTGAGCGGACCACTAATTAAGTTATAATCATGCTTGGGTTATCAATTCAAATCTCACATCGTAAGTTTAAACATGAATTATCTAATATATCAGTAATGTCCAACTCCAATTAGTATAAGATTTTTTGGGAAGGAGCTCAAAGATGAATCCGTGAGCGTTTTGCCACTTGAACCCAAAACGGATAATATTATGCTAATGGGGGAGTTGGACATAGGTTTGAAAAGCCCAATAAATTGTATCAGAGCCTAGATTTAGAAAAAAGGATTTGGAAATGGGTTGGGCTGCAAGTTCGTTATGAGAGGAGAGCCCCCAAAAATGTGATCTCGCGAATAAGGATGCGGGGACCTTGTATCGAAGGTATTTCTAATGGTGTCCCAATGGTTAGGTGAAGAACAAGCGGTACAAGATGGGTGCTAGGTTTCGTTGGAGGTGGAAGGCCACGGGTTTATGTGGTATTTGGTTTCAGGAGAAGATTGTTGGGATATCAATCCAAGTCCCATATCGGAAGTTTAGACATGAATTGTCTAATATATAAGTAATATCCAACTCCAATTAGTATGAAACCTTTTGGGAAGGAGCCCAAAAATAAATACGTGCGGACTTTGCCACTTGGGCCCAAATCATATAATATCATACTAATGGGGGAGTTGGACATGAGCTTGGAAAGCTCAACACTTATAATGGCATCATGCTTATTAAATTATAAGCAGACTCATGCTTCGAATCATGATTATTTTCAAAGCATATTAATAATTATTATCGAACCATATTTTATTAATCTGCTCGATTTGTTTGGTTAATTAAGTCTTATGAGGTATCGCTAAACGCTTCATTATCCTCTATTGCTGGCAACAAGAAGTTGCCGGTTATGCAAGTCATCACCAATTCTTTTCACAATTCCAACATCAAAAATTTTAGTTTCTTCTAAATCGTGTCCTTCACGGAGGAAAAGAAGCACATTTTCGGAGTGGAGATGTCCGTGAACATACCCAGCCTCATGAAGTGATCTAAGTCCAAGGAGAATCATCTGAGTAAAGCTACATACCGTTGGAGTTAGAAGTCCATTGCGATGCTTTTGGATCTTGGTTTCAAGAGTCCCACTAGGCGCATATTCCGTGTCAGCCATCATTGTTTTCTGATGCACCGACTCTCCAAAACATTGTACAACTCCCGTCGTTGTGCCCTAAGCATAGATAATACCTCAAATTCTTTCTTCGCCTCAGATTCCAATTTCCCACAAGTCTTTCTGACAAATTTGAGGACATTTCCAGCTGGAATGACAACTTCCATGAGCTATGCGGTTGTGCAGCGTAAGTCCCCAGCTAAACGCTTCACTACCGTCCCACTAATTCTACTAAGATCCATCTTACTCTCCAAAACCTCTTGTTCTGGTAGTTTTGCTCTGGCTAATGCCATTTGTTTCACTTGTTCCAAAAACTTTGCGTAGCTGAGAGTGGTGAGCAACCCAAGAACGTTAAGAACTTCCGTCACTGCTTTTTCAACCTTTACCAGTAACACCACCATTGACAATAGGCGCTCATTCTGGAATGTCTTGAGTCTAATTATTGAAGCGTTGATCATTTTCATGGCCTCTTGAAAATCACTTGTGAGTATCTAAGATATCTCCAAGTCCTCTGGCATTTTCTTTTCAAACTCTCTTCACATTCTTAATCATAACTCCATCGCTCTTCGCATTCTTAATCATATCTCCAGCTTTTGCAGTCTATTCAGCCTTTGCACCATCTTTATCCACTACTTCCTTGTGCGGTAAGACAGCATGAGCGAGATCTTTTAATGTCTGAATGACATGGTTAACGTTAGACATTGCACCCTTTATACATAAAGAGATGCTAAAAACAGTTTTTTTTTTGGCATTGCACCTGATAAACAGAGTATAAAGCATCTGACGACCTTTCTAGCTGAAGCGCATAATAGCCCAGAGGAGAGCGGTAATGTGCGCTCATGAAGAAGTGTCTCAAGGCCAGTGGATGGTTTTAATTGAAAATCCATGTATAAACCCAACATTAAGAGATTTTAAGGAAAAAACTCATAC